TTCTCAAACATTCCTACGCAGCTGGTGCTTTCCGTATTTTGTTCATTCACAGAAGAGATATCTTTTCGTTATTAAAAAATGCATGAAAATACACAGTAGTTTGTTGGGACCGTTGTGTTATTTCGTGTTGTCCGATATTTCGTCTTAAGCGTTTTCGCGTTAACCGTATTTTCCTGTACCTCTTTTCTTTTTTTTTCATGCATTCTTATTGTAAAGAAATACAACTGAAAACTTTAGGGAAACCAAAAAGGGGTAACTTTAAAAAAATAAAATTTTTTGGGTTTTTAAAAGGGTTTTAAAAAAGCAAAGGGTTTAGTTTCAAAATTTTTAAATTGTTTTAAATTTTTTCAAAAATTTATTGTTTTTAATAAAAATTGGGAAAAATGTAAAAATTTAATTTTTTTTTAAATGAAAGCTATTATTGGAATGAAGTTTAGAAAAGAAAATATTTTATTTTGCTTGTTTTCATTTTAAAAACTTATCAAGCTCTCATCAATTCTATACAATTTACATTCCATATCCCTATTTAAGTAAATGAAAAAAAAAATGCTGTGTGTTTTTATTTTGCTTGAGGGTTTTTCCTCTCTTTGTTTAACAATAACATGTTTTCCAATCCAAGCAATTTTAAGGGGATTGGAAAGCTAAAACCTTTTTATTTATTTATTTTTTTATGACAATTTGAGATTTTTACATTTTCAAATTGTATAGATTTTAACCTTTCTAAAAGTATCTTACTTTAACCTCTAGGGCAGTTTTAAATAATGATTGAAACTGGGCCACGCTTATTTGAATGGCAAAAAAAGTAAGCAAAGTACTTCGTTTTTACTTGAAAGTTGAAAATCTTATATAAACCAAAACATGCATCTTTTATTGTAAATGGAGCCTTTTATTTATTTTTTTTTTATTTCGAGCCGATTAGAAGTCTCACTGTATACATTAAAATCAATTTATCTCAAAATGTAAATTTTGATGTTCGTTTTACCTATTCTGAGAAACTACTGTTCACAGGTATGTAAGTTTTTTTATGATATATTTATAATGATGGCCAATATAATACTGAAATGAACTTTTTGTAAAAAACTGAAAAATTTATTTTTCATAAATATTTTAATGTGAAAAATGGGTTAAATTTCACTATGTTTGATAAAATATTTGGTATGAAAATTTTAAGCATGTACATATAACAGATTTTGAGAAAAGGTACATCAAAACAGCCAATTTAACATTGTCGGTATAGAGGTTTCCTACTCCCCTTAAATAAGCTTGACTATTTTAAAGTTAAAGCATTGTTAAGATTCATCATTATTTTCTATGATAAAAAATAAAAAATAAACATGAATACATTTTTCTGTAAAAAAAAGTCATTAAAATGTTTTTTAGAACTTTCTAAATGCAGTTATGCTTCTAGAATAAAAGAGCATATTTATTTTGTTTTAATTATATTAGAATATTTTTAATTTTATTCCGAAATATTCCTCGTTATATGGGCTTAGAGAGCTGTAAGTGTTTAATTATACTTTGAAAAAAATTTTTTTTTCAGTTTTAGGTGAATGAATACTTTAAAGCTTGCACTAAATATAATAGTTTTCTATCGAAATTATAATTAAAGGCTAATGAATTTTTAGACAGAAATTTCCTTACCATAATAAAATTGCGCAAAACGAAGAAAAGGAAAAAAGTTTAAAATGAATAACTATGAAAATTGAATGAATGTAAAATGAATAAATATGAAAAAGGTTCAAATATAAAATGAATAAGTATGAAGAATGAATAAATATGGAAATTGTATAATTGTTAGAAAGAATAAATAGCAGAAACGAACAAATGTAAAATGAATAATTATAGAAAAATGAATAAATATGAAGAATGAATAAATGTAAAAAGAGTAAATATGAAGAATGAATAAATTTAAATTGAATAAAAATGAAAAATTATTTGTTTCATTGAGAGATATATAGTTCATTTGTTACATGTAACAACGTTTGCTTCTAATAGAAGAAAAAATTCTGTTCACTAAGAAAAAGCTAAAAGAAAAAAACAAAAAAGTACGTCTTTTAATAAAAAAGAATAAATGGTTACAAAATAATGAATACTTTTTGCAAATAAAAACTAGTTGAGACTTAGAGTTATCATTCTATTCAAGGAGCTATAACCAAGTAACATCTAGAAAAATTTTGAGGTTATTCCATTCTAGCTTCATGAACTCATATTCTTTGTTTGTGGTGTGGTGAGGGAGTTTGGATTGAGAGCAGTTATCATCCTCGCCATTTTTTGATGATTCATATTTATCTTATTCGTCGCTTTCTATTGCTCTTGAATAATGTTAATTAAAAATAAAAATAAAGCATTTTCCCCGCTACTATAATTTTTTATCGAGTTGGAACACTTTGCCGGCTAAAGTCAACAATTTTTTCAAAACGAATTCCCTCAATGACGGATTTAAGCTTAGGCCTGCGAGGCCCGGGTCTAAGGCGGCAAATTTTTAGAAGTGGCAAAATTTAAAATAGATTTTGTTTTTTATCAACTGTAAGACCGAATTTTAATGCTTCTTTTCTAGCTTTGACAACCTCAAGATGTCAATATTAAAAAGGTAGAATTATTTTTTTAAATAATTAATCGTGTAAGTAGTAAAATTTAAAATACTTAACGAATAGGTACTAAAAATTTTTCGTTAAGTATAGCATTTATCTATTAACGTTAGATTTTTCATAAATTTTTCTTAAAAAATCTAAATGTAGCGTTTGTTTGCTCATTATTAAAACACAAAATATTAATTATCTATATTTAATTATACCTTTGTCTTGTTACTCAAAAACTTTTTAATAATACCAATACCTAATTATAATTTGAATCCATTATTATTATTCGTATTATTAATATTTCTATTACATATAAAGGCGTCAAATTAACTCGGGTCTAGGGCGCCATCGCACCTTAATTCGTCACTGAATCCCCCTCAACATTTTTCTTTATAAAAATTCTTTCTCCTAACACAAAAATCATCAAAGACAGGCCACCGAATAACTCCAATTTATCTCTCCTCCTACCTTATAAATAAACAAGCCTGTCAAAGGTCCCCAACTAAACCTCTCACCCATACCGTAAAACTCGAAGCAACCAAGTTATAAAACCGAAAATCGAATTTAGCCGGTTTGAAAAGACGCCACTGTTTTACGCCCAGGCGTATTTACCTCGAAACTGTTCCACCCTTGATTCAATCTGAGAAAAATCGATTTTCGGTTATTGCTGCATTTACAGATGCCCTACCCCGACTCTACCGGAAGCTTGTTACAGCAACGTTTCTGCGGTGATGAGGCACTTAACTATGCTTATTATCAGTTTTGAGAGACGGTAATGTCGAAGGAGCGAATGAAACCACAACGACCTGCCATGGAAGTGTGCGAGGAGTCGGCATAATTGGTTTTCTTGTCCCATTTTGAGCTTTTAAGGGATTATAACCCTTTCCCGATCGTATATTTTGTAGTTTTTTTAATGTACACAAGCTTTAAGCTCGATAGGATCTTAGGTTTATACTTACGTCAAGTTTAAAGTTAGTTGCAAAACTAATTTATATTTTTAAAAATAAAGATTATAGAAGAAGATATCTTTTAAAGGTCCTCTAAATATTGAATTTATATGCATACTTATTTCTTTGCATCTATAGTACTTATTTTCTAAGTATTGTTATGTAGATATTTTCTTGCAAAGTTCGTTATCTCTATCAGCTTTCGATTAGTTATACTTCTCTTCTTAAAATTAATATGGCTCATAAAGTTCCCTGCTTGCAAAAGTTTTGAATTATAATTAAGGATATGAAATATAAATGCTTTCGTTCAAGGTATCCGAACATAAGGTATTTTTTCTACCCTCTTGATAATTTGAAGTTTTTCATTAGTCCCTTCAACTCCGAATTCTCAAGAGTCGATTATATATATAAGTATTCAATTTTTAAAATGTGAAATATTTTAAATATTTAATATCAGTAGTAAGGAGATATTGTTTAACAAGTTTTAACACTTTTAGTATTAATTTTTAAAAAATATAATAATTTTAAAAGATAGCAAAAGGATGAAAAGAAATACAGAAGAGATCAATTTTAATGAAACTTTACTTATTTAATAAATATAGTCTTCGCAACTAGTTTTGACACCTTGTTAGATCAAACCTAATTTCAAATACTCCAGTTTTCATACAGATAAATTTCAAAATGTTTGTGAAATAACTCGAAGCAAAAAGGAATGATAAGTATTTAATTAATTATGAAAACATATCTATCACACACATTATGAAAAACCCAAAATAAAATATGTCAAAGTACCTCTATAGCATCGCGATTAAAATAATGAATATAATTACACTCCTAAGTTTTCAATTTCTTTGAATAAGTGAAAAAAGTTGTAACGAAATTAATTTTAATTTTTTTTTGAAAAAATAGTAGTCGATGTGTGAAAGGGGAGGGGATTAATCGCATAATCAGAAGCTGCATTCTAATTATGAACAGGATTTTTAATTTCAAAGAAAATTTAAGAAATTTCCTTAATTTATAACAGTTTATAATTGATCTTCCTATCAATTATAAACTCGGAGAATGAAAAAAAAAATATCTAAATCAGAAAACCGGAGAATATCTTACAAATATAATTCAAACTGCGATCTCTCAACTACTTAATTTACTATGATCTAATCTTAAACTAAGCGCCATTTTAATGCTTCATATTTTGGCAATAATTTTGAAACCAGTTTCTTAAGATTATTTGTAAAGAATTGAGCACACACATAAAGTGTAAAATAATTTTTATATATAATGTCCATTCAAAAATTACCAACAATTATTGAAGTTATACTTCTTTTGGGGCGTTAGAGAAATAGGATGAGGGTAAATTTTTACAATGCGCGTGCACACCGTCACGGATGCGAAATCCTTTGTCTAGAAATATACAGAACGGGAAAAATTATTCCCGCCTTCGAAATTCTCAGAAAACTGTTTCTCTTCAATTCCCTGAAGAAGGACACCCGGATTTGAACCGGAGATCTCTCGATCTGCAGTAGAATGCTCTACCATTGAGCTATACCCCAGCGTAAGCGAACCTTTGCTTTGCGTTCCGTAGGAACGGATACGAAAATGCTTTGTCTAGAAATGTGCAGAACGGGACAGATCATTCCCGCCGTCGACCCCCTCCCCATATTATTGGTCCTATTGTCACTGTGCGGGGATGCTTAAATTTATTTAAATCGTGATTTTATCTCAGGTTTGGCTGGTCCGATTGACTGAAGGTTAGTTTCGTTCAACTCTGCTCGTGACCACCTTTTGTCCTTGGCCCAGCTTGTCCTGCACAAGATTTTTAGAAAGATTTTAATCTTGTTAAGCCAAAGAAGTATAACTTCTTACGTGCGTACGTAAGTACACACACTTTTTTTTTTTTTTAATCTTCTTTGGATTGGTTAAAAACTTCTAGTTTTGAATTTCCGTAAAAAAATAAAAAATAATAATAATCCTAAAATTAAATAAGAGTAGTAGTTTAAATTTATATTTCTAGTTGTGAAATTATGTTTGAAATTAAAGGAAGATGCTTTTTAAAATATTGTTGGAGCAAATTTCTTTATTTATATTGCATATGAGAGGATAAATCCTTTAAGTCATAAAGTAATATTATTTCATCAGAAAGTATGAGGACATGTTTGAACGTTCTTTGTAAAAAAAGAGAGAAAACAACCACTGACAATTCCTAACCAGTTATGAACGTTAAATGAAATAACATGTAATCGACCTATTTCACTTACACAAAGAATACTAGAACCATCAAGACTTATTTTAATATCTCCAATGTAACTTATTGGAACCATTCTCAGCTAGGTACTGCTGATGAAGAAAATAAAATAGATGTGTCACTGTCGTCGAATATCCGACAGTACTTTTGATGTTCGAAGATAATGTTCCTTCATCCGATTAAGCTCGAAGACCATACCTTGAGACCATCGACTGTGCAATTGTACCAATCATTCAATAGAATTTTAATCCTGTTCCTAGTGCGAACTATTGAAAAAAGACAATGGTACCAGGATGGTAAATACATCCACATGGAATTAATAACAATCACTATAAAACAAATGGATGCCTCAAAAGTAAAAAAAAACCTGCCAATGGAATAAAAAAGGAATGCCAATACCCTAGTTCAGGGATGGCGAACCAGTGGCATCCGTGTCATTTATGGTACACGAAACAATATTTTTGGCACGCCAGTGATCAAAATGGTTTGAGTTTTATTTCAAAACTTCAAAGTTCACTATGAAGTATTACGAGCAAACGCGAGTGATCGGTCGCGGGGTGGTGGGGAGAACACTTATTTGTTGTCTTGCCTTAGTTAAGTCTTAGTTTGCAATTGCTTATGTTAAGTTAGTCTACGCATAGCATAGTCAATTTCATTCACACAAATGTATTTTAAAGTTTATCTGTATTATATTTACGATTTTTAACTGTTATTTAACATGGCAAGCGAACAAAAATTGCAAGATAGTAAGTGTAAGAGGGAATTTCAAATTTGGTGGACCGAGAAACTTGGCATTATTCGAAAAGGCGACAAAGTAGTGTGTGTTTTATGTTCTTGAGTAATGGTATGTGCAGAACATCGTCTGTAAAACGGTATTTTGAAAGAAATCGCAAACCCACTTGCCAAAAATAAAGTGAACTACAGCAAAAATAATTAAATGCTTAGAAAAACCATTTGGCGAATGACTCCAATTCAGCATGTATTTTACAAAAAGTAGCAACTTACAACCATAATATAAGTTGCCATCCAATCTGCAACAGCAGAAGTCAACTAATGTTTCTCTTTAATTTGAATTGTACGTATAATTGAAACATTTATAACTATACAGTGCAAAAGGTATTTTTTCGTAGTAAATAGAGTTTTGTGTTGTTAGTATTTAGTTTTATTATTTTCCCAATAATCACAAGTCAAAACTATTTGACGGCACGTCTTTACCTCATTAAACGCTTCTTTAGAAAAAAATGGCACGTTGATCCATAAAGGTTCGCCACCCCTGACCTATTTATTCCATTGGACACCAAATTTCAACTATCGTTTCCTAGATCAAGCTAACCATTGATTCCTGTACCATTACAACTAGTAGAGTTGATAACTTACTTTTGGGATCAATCAACAGTACTTCTTGACAATTCCATGAGTATTTGAACCATTGTAATGTGGTACATAAGTCAGTTTAATATTTTCTAACTCTACATAGAGCATAGTATTAATGACAATATTTAAAATTTAATATTGAAAATTGAAAAAATGAGAAATTACAACAATCGCCGAATCAAAATTAAAGGAATATTTTATTAAGTAGTATGTCCAATTCAAATACAGAATTAATAAGACTTAATTAAACTATTACCAACAAAGCTTTGTGGTTTCAAAGTATTTAATCCAGGTCATAAGGAAATTGATATGCTGTAATAATAATCACATTTATCATATACTTTAGCACTTTTAAATGCTTTACTGATTTTTTTAGACAAATTACCCTAAAAATGATCAAAATATCGGGGTTTTTTTTTAAACTACATTTTAACTGTGCAACTTTTCTATATATGAGTACAAAATTTCGAGAAGCTCTAACTACTTTATTTAACCAGCTAAATTTGCTTTACAGTATATCGAAGAGAAAGCCGAAACTAGAATGATATCGGCATTTATCCCTTTTATTCATTGTACTGACCTTCAAAATTTTAAATGGCTTTTTCAGGTTTTTATTCTTCACGATAATCGTGTATTTAAAATGTGCTAAGGCTTTTATATTTATATGTATATATTCAATATAAAGTTTTAAAACTTGTTCTGGTTGTTTTGTATACCTTTGATGATTATGTTCATTGAACAATGATTTATGTGAATAGTTAAATTTTTAAAAATCATGAAGTTAGATATACTTTTTAGATATACTTAGAACCGGTTTTTTTGAATTTTTACTGGTTTTCATGCGGTCCAACAGGAAAAATATTCTAAAAATAAAATTATCACTTGTAATATCAATCTGCATGCACGGAATTGTGACGAACACTTCTAAGAATCTTAGAAAAAATGTTTAAAATTATTAAAATTGTAGAAGTAGAGTAGGCATTTTAAAATATTTATTTATTTTTTTATTAAAAATTTAAAATTTTTAAAAGTTGTTTGCTTAAAAATGATATTTTTCTTGGGAAATATATATTTCATGTGATTTCAAGTAGAAAAGATGTAAACAGTTTAATTTAATACATAAACAAAACAAAAAAAAATGCTCAAGTACCGCTTCCCTAAATTTTTTAAAAATTTCTGAAATGCTTCAATAACAAATCTTCAATGTTTGTCATTTTTCTTATTAATATTTTTAAAGGCCGGGAGATCTTTTAATTTAAAATATACATTTCGAGGCAAACACTTCGAAATTTAGCTAAGGCAGCAAGCAACCTTTTAACTGCCCTTTTAATCTCATACCATCCAAAGGATCTCAGTGACAAATGAGCTGTTATATGTATTACCTGGCCACTTTTTTTTTTTTTGCAACATCGACCTTCCATTCATGATTAGCTTCAGCATTTGACTAATCTTGTTTGCAAATTTTTTCAAACAATCTCATCTTCACATAGAAGATTTATTTAGGTTTTCTTTTCTCCCCCTTTTTTTAATTTTTTGATAAAAGTTATAAGGTTTTGTGCAGTGTTTTCAGGAGGTAATCGGCTTATTCCAGATAATGCTTTTTTTATTAAAAAAAATTGTGCCCTCCTGAGAATTACGTTTTTTTGCTATCTATATAATGGTTTTAATTGATATAAATTAATATAAATGGTTCTACAATACAGTCATTTTCATTGTTGGTTTTAAAATCCACTTCTGAGGAATACTTATAAAAAAATATTTTCTAGAAGAATATTCAGATAAAGCATTCTGTTAACTCTTAAGAGTAAAAATATCTATTTTTGTAATTGTAAAGGTAAGAGATTTTTCACATAATTTGTTGAATTCGCTCATACTAAATGGAATATTTTGTTGAAATTTTTCTCGCTGTTTCATTTTTTAAAAAAATTCAGTTTTATTAGTTAAAATCATATATCTTAGTTTATTGTTATTATGGAATTTAAAAAATTGGCTACTATTTGCATAAATAATTATTTTACGTACAAATAAAAAAATCGTTTACTTTAAAAAACTGAAATGTTTACTCTCGTCAAAAATATGTAAATACCAATGTATATTATTTTTTACAAATTTTGCAAACTATTTTATAACATAAGCAAAGCAAGCTACAAACTTAGAGGCATGCAAAGTCGCTCATGCGATAAGCACAAGTATAAATCATGTATACATATTTATCAAAAGCTCATTTTTGAATACATTTTTATTCAAACTGCGCATAGTTAAAAATTCAATCAAAAATAAGATACAGTTTAGTTTTAAAAATGTATAATTTAACAGAACTTGAGAGAAAAGTGGTTACAATTTTTTTGTAAATATGCAAAAACTAAAATCTTGTTTGATACTCATTTCAGCTATTTCTTAGAATAATAAGATACGTTTTTATAAAACATTAACTGTACACACAATTCCCCCTGTTCACAATCAGAAAAATTCAATATATTTTAAGTGATGTTGTACATAAAAATGTTCTAACACTACCAATTCACTTTATTTTATAATTACATAAAATGCACATGAAAAATTTAAGTAATTATTTGTTATGCTCTTTTTTTAAAAAATTTTGGAAACATAATTACATAGTGCCCTATGTATTATACTTTAATAGGAAATGTGTCTTTTAAAATTGATATTGAACATAATTATATTCATTTCATTTAAGAATTTCCTAATAGTTTTCTTACAGTTCTTACAACTTTAAAAATTTCATTTCATATTCTTGTGTATTCGCATGTAGCCTGCAGCATAAAGAACAAATTTGAATTTCTTGAATTCTGCAGGGAATAATTTTATTAATTATTTTAAGTTATATCTATTTTTAAAGTTGAAATGTTCCCTAATTAATTCAAAACAGATATTTCAAAAGTAGCTTAATATATTAATGCATTATTTTGAAT